TTATGTTGAAATATTCTACAGTTTTTGCAGACCTTTTCGAATTTTGACGAACGACTTTTTCTGTCTATTTTCCTGAATCTCTATGATCTTTGTATCGCCAACTTGTATGAAACTGGAAAAATAGTAATTATTCCTTTCTAGAGGAAAATGATACTCGTTCTGAAGACTGGGTTCGGATCATGTTTTCAAAATGTATCGCAACAAGTACCACGCAGCGCACTTCAGTGTGTCACAAAGGATGACACATGGGACACATTTTAGTCTAGGGTGCAGATAGACACAGAGTTGTGTGAATATTTGTTCGTTTCTAGATCTATCATGTTCATCTACAGAATACTCGAAGCATGTTTCATTCATAACTAACTAATTCAAGTTGTTGATATTTATGTGTGCATATCATGATAGTATCAGAATACAGAAGTATTTCGAGCTATACCATTTTTGGCTATACGAAATTAGTAGCATCTATGGTATATTTTTAGATGTACCTTATGCTCTCTGTGTTCCTACGATATTTTGACTTTTAAGTAATTATTAAGCGACTTAATTTCGAAGGTATCTTAAGTTGGGATAATTCTTTTGATTTCTTGGAATTGTTGAACTTTGAGAGTGTCCTCAATTCTTTACATCGATCGTGTGTACTTGATTATTTTTAATAAATATGTGAATTCCGAGATCTAGAAGTTTTCTGAACTAAGAGAATTCGACATGTTTCATGTATTATTTTCGTTATGACAGATGTGGAGTCATATTATAGATTTGATAAAACTATTTCTCAAAAATCTCGTATGGAGAATAATTTTGATAAAAGAATTACAACATTGATGAATTTTTCTCTCTGACAAAATATAATTAACCAATCAATCTTTGAATATCAATCTGTAAAATCTCCATGTCATTATAACACCTACCAGATGATATAATCATAGAACCCTGATTCATAAAGGATTTATTATCTTTTGAATTGAAAATATTTTGAAAATGACCACGCTTTTCTGTTTGTTTTTTTTCAAATTGACTTGGATCTATTTGATTTAATTTATTTTCTTCCAGAATTCCAGATGAAATGACAATTGAGATTTCATTTATAAATGATTTCGAATCTTGTTGAATTCTAATGCTTGACGGCTGACCAAATTCTTCCAGTAGTTCTGTTAATTTTGTTTTGAATCGATGTAAATCATTTTCATTAAATTCAGCTTCTTGGTGACTTTGTTTCAATTGTTCAGTTAATTCAAATAATTTTTTTTCTATTTCAAAATACTTATTTTTATGCTCAATTAATATTTGTCTACATTGTTCTGCGCTTTGTTTAATTTTCTTAATTGAATCTTCTTCCCATTCATCAATTTTCTGCATTGATAAAAGATTTATAGAATCTTCTTTTTCTGCAACAAATCTTCGGTAGAAACAATCACGATCATTGTCAATCTGGACCAATTGTTCTCTAAGGCTTTGACGATGTTCCGTTAAATCCTTATAACAAAATTTGTTTGAACATCCTTCACATTGATATACGATTTTTTCTGTTTCACATACAAAACATTTTGTTCGAACACTTGACGTTACCGCTGTCATGTATTGAATATGTTGATGATAAGCAATGTCTTTATACTTGAGAATGTGAAAGAAGAAACCAAAAGAAATAAAGATATCATGTTGACACATGGATATAGAGAACAGTAAAATGAGTTAATGTCAATAAATATGAGTAGGGGACAGTAGTTTTTTGTTTTATTTTGTTCTTGAAAACATATTCGTAGGCAAAAAATATCAATTGCGAGGATTATTTGTTAAATTTTCATCGACTATCGATCAAAAGTGAAGTTCTTATAGATGATTTCTTATTAAAGTTTCATTTATGTAATCTCTTCGCTGTTACAAAAAATGATGATGTTTCTTTTAGTATCATCCGTCTAATTTTCATACAGTGGGATGTGGATGGGTGTGCGTACGACTGTGGATGTGAGTGTGCTGTTCGCCTTATTCCACATCCCCATTCACACCCTACGCCCACACCCATACCCTCGTCGGATCTCACAAGCCTTATGTCTGATATTTCGACTTGGGAAAGTCTGTTATTCAAGTGTACATCCAGGCATATCTTTTACTACGTATCGTCATGAATTAATCACTTAGACGAGGATGATATACAGCGGAGGACATTTGCCTGCTAACTACCACATCAACCATGCAGATATCTGTGCAAATATGTAGGTCGTGTGAAATGGAGAACAACCTTGAGCGAAGGTGAAATGAAAAAACGTTATCAATCTTTCTCGATCTCTTTTCTTGAAAATGTGTGGGTGTGGTGGATGTGGGCGTTGATCTTCCCTTTACTCACACCCACACCCTCGATTGCACGCGCACAAAACAGAGCTCGTACACTCAAATATCACTTAACAAGTATGTATATATGATTTCTAACATTATTAGATTAGCTATAAAGTTAAACTTGCAAACCGAGAGTGGTTACAAATAATAAAACCCAAGGAAACATAAGGCTTTGGTCGAAGCAGCTCTTACACGTAAAATAGTTTTACTAACAACTATGTCAAACTGAATGACATTTACAGTGCTTACATTTTATCGAAAATTGTGATAGTAGATGATATAAATTTCACTGTTAGAAAATCAGCAAAGCAGTGCAGTGAAGAACTTCTTATAGAAGTATGTTAATAATGAAGCAGCATTGCAAAAGCTATTTGAACATCAATGAAGACTGTCTATTATTTTTCTACATGAGTATTGGTGAAAGAGTAGAGCTATCGAATGCATTTCATCGATTGACATATTTGTTTTTCTAGGGAAAATATTTTTGAAATTAGTTCAAGTAAAAAAAAACTCTGGTAAAAAAGACATGTAACCGATGAAATCGAGCTAATTTGGCCTTATTAATATGTTCTAGTTGCATTTTTAAATCAATTAGTATTGTAACATGAGCGTATTCAGATGAGTTGATTTACTCCACGAAAAACTTTTAGAGATTATCTATTGTTTCAACACTGTTATGTGTATGGTATTTTGAGAAAGAAACTTTTGATATTTCATTCTTATTTCTAAGTTACATGTTATTTACAAAACAGTTAATAGAATTTCACAATCTTCAATGTTTACTATCCGATAGATGCAACAGAGTGAATGCCGATCTCAGTATGTCCATTATAAGTCCTTCAATTTTCTTTCTTTCAAATGAGATTTTTTTCCAGAATATCTATCATTCAACTCTAGACTAGGGTGTGAGTACGGACTGAGGTACACCCACGTCTGAAATATTTCACACCAAAAATAAAGTGTTGGGTACACTTTTGCATGTTGTTTCTGAATATCATATTTATTTTCCATAAAAATCAATTTTTAACAATCAAAATCTTGGAAAGCTGGCTGTGTTTTTCAAATTTTTAATGTGAAGGTGACTGCATTCTAAAAATATTGAATCTTTTTGCTAGTAATAAGAATGTCAAATATCTGGTTTGGTAATTTTATATGACGACATTACCTTCAACACAGAAAACAGTGAAATAAAGAAAAAAACTAATTTGGAATGATTACGCCAGCTCTTTTAACAATCTTCTGTGAGTGCTTGATTGACTCATAGCTGCTTTCTTTTCACCCAGAGACTTAAAAATAAAAAAATTCCATAAAAATAATGAAAATATTCATTTTATAAATCAAATTAAAATATCCCACAACTTATGTTCGTTTCATTATGCGAGTGAGTTTGGGAAGCATAAAACTTAAACATACTTTATTTTTTAGATTCGTTCTCAAAGACAACTTATTAAAGCGATCTTCATAGTAATTTCGATACTTCTCAGAGCTGCTTACAAAATTGAAATGTGCACAAATTTTAGAGTATAGGTATTTTAGTTTACTTTACAGAACAAAAATTTATTCTATAGCTGAAAAAGTTTAGCACATTTTAAATGTTTAATCAATTTTTCGTTAACACATAATAACTCAAAACTGTCTTATACACCGCTCAGTATAAAATTTGATGGTCTACATTTTAGCATAAACCACTCACCGTGATATTAAGATATTAATCAATTATTATATAACTATTAGTTAATTTTTATTTAGTAATAATTAATAGCGAATTAGCAAAACTTTGCTTTATTTTTAATTTTTAGGTATTCCATAAGAATGAAGAATAAAAATTGAGCAAAATTAGCTAATCATTATTTCAAAACAGATCATCTTAATGGGATTTTCAGCGTTTACAATTTAAACTAGTTCTATAGTGTTTATTACGTTATGATTTGCAAAATCATAGAAAAATAGCTTAAAATCATGTCCGAAATTATTTTTTAAAACTTAGAATTACAATATTTGTACAAAACATTTCACAAAGAGTGACGACTTCCTATTTGAAATAAGTCTTACTTTTCAAGGCATCTTGATGTTTTCCAGATATAAAATTCTTTTTTTTTAAGTTAAGTCTTTTCAAATTCATAAGCACTGGAACTAGTTAAAGCTGGCAATAGTGAAAATCGCATTAATATAGTCAACTTTGAAATAATAATTCAATAGTTCTCTTCAATTTTTAATGTTCTTTCTAATGGAATATCTCTAAATTAAAAACAAAGCGAAATTTTACTAATTAACTAATATTTATATAATAATTGATTAATATTTTCATATCATAGTGAGTGGTTTATGCCAAAATGTAGCCCATTAAATTTTAGAGTAATTGTATTTTTGATCACCAAAAAAAGATACTTTTGATCACCAAAAAAAATACTTTCGATCACCAAAAATCATTAGATACAAATGATAACCAAAAAAAGATATTTTTGATCACCAAATTTTATAGAGATGTGATTTTTCATCACCTCTTGTTTGTTCATCATTCACTTACATTTCATTATATATTTTTCGTTCGTAATTTGCTTACATTTCATTATCTATTTTTCATAATATCACTCACATTTCCTCATACCTTTTCTGTTGCTACTTCTCGTATATATAAATACTTTAAAGTTTTTCGTTTTGTAAGAATGTCAAAATCAAATTGGATTCTGCTCTGTGTAGTTAATTCAATTGATGATGCTACAGCTGTAGCTAAATCACTTAATGTGTGTCAATATCGAACAAATAATCTTAAGGATCATACAAAATACTCATTTATATGTAGTCAATATCGTAAAAATTCATCATGTAATTATGAACTCAAAACAGTTGTACCTGATGATGATCCTAACTCAATTACGGTAATGTTCAAAAATACTCACAATCATAGCAACCGTAGCCAAACATCTCGTTTACCATCTCCACTGCGACAATCTGTTTCAAAATATGTTCGTGCTGGTTTAACAGAACCTCAAATTTGTTCGTCGCTCGCAATTGATCATCCAACCATACCAGTGTCATCAAGCAAGTTAACATCATTAGTTCAAACCGAACGTCGAAAGGATCGTCCTGAAATCTTCTCAGTATACGATTTTCGTAAGTGGTGTAATGACTATCTAGATGGTACTGTGCCATATTCGACGTTTGTACCATTCTATTTTATTAATGACGTGAACGACTTATTTGTTTTATTTACCACGAAACATTTAATTCAACAAATTCAATCCACTCCACTATTGCAAATTGATGCTACGTACAAGATAACGTGGAACGAATTACCACTTCTGGTATTTGGTGCATCTGATGGTAACAGACATTTTCATCCGTTCGGTGTTGCACTCGTCTCCGATGATGAAAGTTCATCGTGTTATGAACATTTGTTTCAATCACTTCAACAATTAAGTATTCAAGAACTTCAAAAACCATACTCACCTGGATTTATAATGGCTGATGGAGTACTAGGTATGATATATGAGCAAAAATCTCGTGCTTATAAGCCAACTTTATATTTTTTTAAGGAATTACTTCGGCTCAACAAAAAATATTTCCACAAGCGAAGCGGTTTATGTGTTGGTTTCACATGATAAAAAAATGTCGTATGCATCGAAATCTGGTTACTAAATAACAGTGGGATGTTATTGATAAAGAACTTCATGCTGTACAATTAAGTTTTAACGACGAAATATTTAATCAAGGAATAAATCTTCTAATGACTGAATGGCGTTCTGATCCATCGTTGAACAAATTTCGTGATTATTTTTATGAACAATGGATTGAAAAATTATCAAATTGGTAATAAAAATTTACGAGCTCTGCTGTTGTATTCATTATCCCTTTCTCATTCTAGGTATGAAGGTTATGCATTCAACATACCATCCACAAATAACGGTTGTGAGTCAATGAACTCTAAAATCAAATAGCAATATACCCTTCGAAATAAATTACCTTTGTCATCGTTCCTTCCAAAGATCGAATCAATGCTCAAGGATTGGTCGAAAGATTGCGAAACCAATTCATTTTCTGTTTGTGCGTCCATCACATCCGATTGCGAACTAGCTGCGTACAAATGGGCCATAAATATTGATCGCAATAGTATTTTTTACTGGTATGGCGATTATTATGTTGTACCATCATCTAACGCCCAAATGACATTGTCTACTTGGTTAGATATTTATCACTCTCGTCGATGGCTTACATTCAATGACTTTTTAGTATGGCAACGATCATGTTGGTTAGTTGTACCATTACAATCATGTAGCTGTCCTATTGGTATCAAAGAGTATTCGTGTAAACATTCTGTTGGTTTAGCAATTATATTTAACACGCATCAAGTCAGCGACAAAACACGTATTCAACCATTAGGTAAACGAAAAACAAGAAGACGTCTCAAGAAAGTTAGCACAGCTTTAAATTTGTAAAGACATATTAATAAAAATAAAAATATTGTTTACTTTGTTAGTATTTCAATGAATATTGATTACTTTGTACATTGTATTTTACTTTGTTGAGAAATAAAAATAATGTGACATATTCTAAAAAATTTGGTGACCAAAGATATCTTTTTTTGGTGATCATTTGTATCTAAAGATATTTAGTGATCAAAAGTATCTTTTTTTGGTGATCATTTGTATCTAAAAATGTTTGGTGATCAAAAGTATCTTTTTTTGGTGATCAAAAATATTGCTACCGTTTGAATAATTTCTTATTTTTTTTAGATCGAACATATTTCATCATCTAATTGAAGGTTTTATTAATGGACCACAAGTTCATTACAGAAGAAATTTTTTTTTCATTTAATTTATTCCTTTTTTTCGAACTTATTCATCATGAGAAAGAAAACAAAATTTTGTTCGATACGTAAGTTGAACTTGTAACAAACAATTGTTCGTTCATAATCTAAAATAGGTTTTTTTTTAGATGAAACACAGATGTTTCATGACTCTATATTAAAGGTTTTTGATTGGAGCACAGGTCTATTACAGAAGAAATTCTTTTTTTTTTTCGTTTGATTTATTTTCTTTTTCTCGCACCTATTCATCAAGAACAAAAAAGAAAAATTTGTTCATTAGTAAGTTAAACTTGCAATAACCAATACTTCATTCATAATCTCAAAAAAAAAAACCTTTTTTAGATCAGCTACACGGCTTTTCTACGTAACGCTAGCGGCAGAGTGTCACAGTGTTACGTTTTTGCTCATTTTGTTTTGACCATAACTCTGAAAGGACAAGTCATAGGGAGGCGAGCGACGTCTTAAATTGAAGACAAATTTGTTTTGAAGATTTTGAGATCTGTACGAGCTCATAAAAATGTGCTTCCGAATATCTATCACCAAAATACTAACACCACCCTTTTCGATGGATTTTCAAAAGTAGGTGTCGGCATTTCAGTGGTAGGTTTTCGAGAAAACACTTTTAGGAGCTCGGACAGATCTCAAAATCTTCAAAACTAATTTGTCTTCAATCTAAGACATCGCTAGCCTCTCTACGATTTGTCCTTTCAGAGTTATGGTCAAAACAAAATGAGCAAAAATGTAACGCTGTGACGGAGTTACGTGGACAAGCCGTACAGATGCTCCATGTCTAATCCCATCAAACTTTTTTTTTTGACCACAAATCCATTTCTGAACATTTGTTTTTCTTGTTTGGTTTATTTTCTTTTTTTTTGAACTTATAAAGAAAAAGAAAAAAAAATTTTGTTCTATCAGTAAATTGTAATCATTGGAATTAATGTTTGTTTAAGTGTGAAATAATTTTTGTTTGTTTTTTTGATCTAATATATACATGTTTGATGGTCTAATAAAATTTTTTGTGGTATACAGATTTGACACAGGAAAAATAATTCCCGGTTATCATTTTAGTTTCAGTATCCTACTCATTTTTGAACTTAAAAAAATTCTATGTGATTAGTAGGTTGAAATGGTTGCAAATAATAGGTCATCCAATTATATTTTAAATAAGAGTATACGTATTGTACTGCTTTTCATCCACGAGCGCATACACGCCTTTATTATTAGAAATAAGAATTATTTATTAGAAATTAAATTTCATGCTAATGAAACAACAAATGTCGATGATATTCGTACATGTCAATTATATTTCAATTTTTCTATTGAATCATTTCTTGATCTTCATATTCGATATTGACGAAATTTAAATCAGATATAGACAAAGCAATACTAATGACCATAAAAGAAATCTTAAATCATCAAAAAATACTTAGACATCTTAATTTTGTTTTTTCTTTTCATTTATTGTCAGTGCATATGACGTTGTGATGAATTAGATGCTTCATCGGGCAGTTGCAGCAATAGAGAGTAAAAGGAATATTAACGCTTTTGCATTCCTTCTTATATCTTGTCATCTACAAAACGATATCATAGCATATGTCTGCATCTATTTCATTCTTTCTTTCATCCGTTCTCATCATCTACAAGCATACTCTTGATTGTGACAATCACAGAATTTTGACTGACAGTAATATATGGGCGTGAACAGTTACTAGGATACCCCTAATGTATTTGTTTATACAGCTTCAATAGATTATCATGAAAATATGATTTTTTTTATCAGTCGTAGTACATATGTAGTCCTAATGATCCGCTATTGTTTGAGCTCTATATGTCGCAAGGAATGAGGATTATTAAATGTTCTCTTATGATCCTTATATTGAACGTGTTTCATATCCAATTTATCAGCATATATCTATTCATACTGCAATATTTGAAATGACACAAAGATATCTTCGACTGTTTTTTATTATAAATCGACTAGAAAAATATAACTAACTTATTATGCTGTAGATTTACGAATGGGGTGCTTTTGTAGTTTGATATTACATAAAGCTGAAACAACTTGCACGATCTTTGTTATTTTATGAAAATCATTGATAGCTCCTCTGTAGATATTTCCCAAAACAGCATAGACTTTGAGTCTTTGATTAATGTTTTCAATAGCTGCTCGTGCACTATTAATATCGCGATTAAAGTTCTTCTCTTCATCCGTTAATTCACGTCCATGAGGTTTTTTTTTGGAGTAATAACGTATTCTTCACCGATATATCCTTTATCAGTAATAATTTGAACTGATTCTTCTACATAATACAACAGTCCAGAATTTCTTAAAATTGTAATATCATGTGTACTACCACGATAACAGTCTTATACATGTACTATGTGATGGTTAAAGTCACAAGCTATTTGGATTTTTATGGCATAGTTCGTTGAGCTTTTTCCATAATAATATGCTTTACATTGGTTTGAATCAGAAGGCTCGGGAATCGCAATAGAAGTTGAATCAACTATTAACTTGTAATGTTGTTGAGGTCCATGTTTACTTCTTCTACTAGCTAAATCAACTGGTAACGATACTAATTCCTGATATACACATGAATGTAATATATCCAGAACTTCTGTTAAGAAATTTTAACTGTTGATTGACCCAAATTCAACTCTGTAGAAATGTAGCGTTCTGAATGATAATGCTTCAAGTACCATAATGTAACTACGAGTAAATTCATAGGAGATAAATATGATCTGTCGGCAATATCTGTTTGTTGCTCATATCGATGAAGATGATACTTTTTAAGTGGTTCTTCACACATATCATATAATTCTTGTACTTGTTCAACATCAAGTCCAGTATGTTGCACACAAGATTCATCACTTCGCTGCCATTCTGACCATGGACGTTGTTGTACAAGACATTAAAAAAAGCGGTTTTTTAGAAATAATTGTCAAATATTCTTAAAGCATAAAATAGTCGAATAACCAACGCAAATGTCAGCTGCGAAATTAATTTTACTTACTGTCATCGAGCGTATGAAATTCTTGTTGAATCGAAAGTTGTTTATCTCGTATCTCTTGTTGTTGATCTTCGTCCATCTCTACAATACACGAACTGCAGCTACCACGATGCCGATAATAATTAGTGTATATGCCAGATCTTCCTGAACCATTGCATGTCCATCGTAACATTGAGTGACAAACAGCACAATATTTTCGTTGATCAGTTAGAACTGATCGACATTCAGAACAACTCCATTCAATGCGTGGAGAAGACATAGTAAAGAAAATATAAGTGAATGTACACCAGTGAGATAAGGCCGAAGAAAAGAAAAACGTGATCAAAGTGAGGAAAATCTGATAGACACAGAACGAGAAATATGTAACTGAAATACATAGAGGCAATAGAATGAAGAATTATTGTGCATAAGTATGTACCGAAAACGAAATGTTAATAAATTAAATGCAAAATACATTTAATATAAGGATCATAAGAGAACATTTAATAATCCTCATTCCTGGCGACATATAGAGCTCAAACAATAGCGGATCATTAGGACTACATATGTACTACAACTGATAAAAAAATCATATTTTCATGATAATCTATTGAAGCTGTATAAGCAAATACATTAGGGGTATCCTAGTAACTGTTCACGCCCATATATATATATTTATCAATGTTAAAATTAAATGTTAATATACTTATAAAAATATCTTTCTTCTAAATTTGATATCAATTACTATCTAGTTTATCTTCAATTGATTAATAATACAGATAATTATTTACAAAAGAAAAATAAAAAATAAAGTAAAATCTTTATTTATATTGAAAGAATTATCAGTTATTTACATATTATGAACAAATAACATTTGTAGAATTGATAATAAGTTTAGCTTTTAGATGATTAAAATAAAAATGACAAATAACATGAATAACAGATTGAAATTTTGAATGATAAACAAATAAATCTACAAATTCATTATCAACACCTTCAACAATGATTGTCATTTGAGTATTTTGAGAATCAATTATTAAGGAAGTAAATCTTTGTTGACTAATAAATGTCCATTTATTTAATTCACCCATAAAAGAATATTTTGTTGATAAAGAATCATTGAATATCCAAACAGGTGAACTATACCATAGACAAAATGATGTAAAATGACATTTTTCATTTGATATCTCAAGTGAATGATTATCATCAAATGTATATATTTCATATGGATTATCATATGACCAAATAATTCCATCAGGTGATCCAATCATTGATGGTTTTATTGAATAACTACGTCGCATTGATGATGCAAATATTATTGAAAATATTTTATCATTTCTTAATGAAAAACAAAAGACTCTTTTTTAAATTTAATTATAAAATAGATAAAATTTTACATGATTGTTTTCGTTGAATAAAGTTCTCCTTGTATAATACCTTGATGAAGAGCCCAGTCATTAATTAATAAATCAATCATAGTTAAAGGTTTTGAAGGTTTTAATATCAGACCATCTTGACGACAACATTTCATTATACGTTGTCTATCAACATAATTAATTCCATCACCAAGAGCAACTGGTCCAGTTGAAAGTGTTGATATTAAAATTTCTCTATCAGGTAAGATTTCTTCAACTGTAGA